CATGTCCACGTCGACGACGGCATCAAGGTCGACGAGGACGAGGACGAGGACGAGCGCGTCCATGTCCACGTCGACGACGGCATCAAGGTCGACGACGTCCACGACCCGCTCCTCGCACTCCCCACGCTCCCGGTCTACGAACGAGTAGCAGAACCTCACGCCGACACCGACACCGACACCATCACCAAGCCATCCAACAACAACACCCACACAACCACAGCGCCCCAGCCGCACCACCCCGTCCTCGTAGCCCCAATGCCAACGGCCATGCCCTACCGCTGGCAACCGCACACCTGGGACTCGGTCCCCACCGTCACCGCCATTGCCGCAGTGCCCGTGTCCATGTCCGCTTTCGCAGAAGGCAACGGTGGCGGCAGTGGCGGCAGTGGCGGCGCCGCAGCAGGCGCAGCAGGCGGCAGTCTGATTCCCTCGCCGCCGGCTGCTGTGGCGCCGTCGCCGGGGCCGCCGTATGATTATGATGACGTTGACGACGATGGTGGTGAGGCGCCGGCGCCGGCTGTGCAGGCCTATGAGAGCCCGGCGGTGCAGCCGTACGCTCCTGTGCCTGCGCCTGAGGCTGCGGGGGAGGAGTACGTGGACGCGTACGCGCCGGAGGAGTTCGCCGACGCGGAAGCCTACCCCGAGCCCCCTGCGTCCGCGGAGGAGGAGCAGGCTGTCGACGCGCCAGCAGAATACGCAGATGTCTACGCTGATGCCTCGTCCCCCCCGCCGCCCCAAATTCCTGAGGAGGAAGCGCCGCCTGAGCTTGCGCCCGAGTGGGGCGGCTGGTCGCCGTTGAAGAAGGACAAGAAGAAAAAAAAGAAGCAGAGTAGCAGCAGCGCATGGGTCCATGAGTCTCCAGCTGTGTCGCCGCCTCCGCCCGCTGAGCCGGAGCCGGAGCAAGAGCCCGAGGCCGATGTGCCGATGGAGGTGGTGCCCGCGCCTGAGCCGGAGCCTGTGCCTGCGACTGTGGAGGTGGTGCCCGCGCCTGAGCCAGAGCCTGCGCCTGCACCCCAGCATGACATGTGGGGCAGACCACCGCCGTTGAAGAAAGGCAAGCGGAAGAACAAGAAGAAGAGCAGCAGCAGCAGCGCCGCATGGGCCTACGAGTCGCCACCCGTGTCGCCACCTCAACCGGCAGAGCCGTCGCCGCCGCCGGAGCCGGAGCTGGAAATGGAGGAGGTGCCTGCGCCCGAGCCAGAGCTTGTGCCCGTGACTGTGGAGGTGGTGGAGCCGGAGCTTGAGGTTGTGCCTGAGGCAGCGCCGGAGGAGCCGCGTCCCGAGCCGATCCAGCTGACGGACTCGGAGGGGGGGTGGGGGTTTGGCCCGACGGCGAGGAGTAAGAATAAGAAGAAGAAGGGGAGGAGGACTGTGGATCCGGAGACGGATGCGCCGGCAGTGGCGCCGCCTCGTGAGTATTTGTTGTATGGGGTCGCGGACTAGGGTGGAAGGTCTGTGATGGGGTCGGGTGGGATTGGATGGGATTGGATGGGAACAGAGTTAGGGTTGAGATTGAAATTGAGATTGAGTGTTTGAGGGAGGTCTGAGGGTAGGTAGGGATAAGATTGCTTGGTTTCCTGCTTTTTACATAGTATAGACGGGTCAGACCGTCGCGTACTGCTACTGTTTTTCCTGTCTTTTCTTGTCTCTACTTAGCCAGCTGCAATTTACCACCGCGTCCGCACCCGCCACTTCTCATTCTAGTGAGCCGCTGCAAGACGCAGTAAAGTGATGACGCAGCCGTCCTCTGTACGCTTCCGCTCGGCGGTTTACGCTGCGCCTTCACGTTAGCGTGCTGCTTCTCTGTCAACGAAATATCGAATAATGCTCTTTCCTCCATGCTAAAGTATAACATCGCCATTATACATATTGTCCTATACCGCAACAAAGCAGACAACGGTGCAACCACATACAACAGCCATAGAATAGAAACAAACAAGCTTAGAGATAAGAAAGAAGGACGAAAGGAAGGTTATAGGTGTGTAGGTGCTAGGCAAAGCAGGACTAAGTGTATGTAGTTTAAGGTTTCGTTCAGTGGAGCCACTTAGCCACCAAGCCACCACCTATAGGTACTGTACCTACCTAGCGGCACGGCACATGCATGCAAACCTAACCCAAACCTTAAAGTTAAACCTAAGGTCTCTGTTTTAGGCGTAAGGAAGGTCAGAACTACCGTTTCAGGCTTAGAGCCGCAGCCCACGCCTTCACGTCTCTCACGCCTCACCTTCCCCACGCACGCTCAATCCCAACCCCAAACCCAAACAACCATAACCATAACCACCTCCCAGCAAAGTCCCAACCATGCCCCACAACACAACGCCTCCAAGTGCAAAGCACAAGCACAAGCAACCCCACCATCTCCAGCGGCGCTGACAAGTCAAGTCAAGTCATGAACCAGAACACCACCGCTCTACTACAAACAGATAAAGACAATGTATATAACCATGTCCACAAACACGCTCACCTTTTTCATGTTTCTGCTCGCTTGCTTGATGCTGGGTGCTTGGTGCTTGCAGGTCTTTTACATGTATCTGTTCATTCGCCATGTCTGAACCCGTACACATGCATACGCATACTCTCACGCACCTGCCTACCCCCTCCCCGCTCTTCTTAACTGCGTGTGCGCATGCATACTCCAGCCACATCCACGCACTCTTCTGTTCTTTCCAAGTACCTACCCGACCAGCTAACCAGCCAGACACCCAACACCCAACACGCAAAAGCAAGCAACCAAGCAACCAATCAAAGCAACAGCAATCAACCATCTATATTGAATATTGCCTGACTCGACTCTTAGCTACATTACAAGCATTGCATAGCAGCCTGAACCTTAACCTCAACCCCCGTGTTATCCCTTCCGACCTATTCCCCTGAAAAACCCAACCCCCACACGCAGACGTATATCATACCATAACAGACCAGAGCCCTTTAACCCATCCCATCCCATCCCAACCAACCATCCAAACCAGTAAGTTACTTAACCCGCCCAAACAAAACAGAACACGAAACGCCAAACACCGCCACCCCAACCCACAACCCCCACCTCACCTCACCTAGCAGCAGCAGCAGTAGCCGTCGTCCTACTCCCGGTCGCCAGCGTCGCCGTCGCGCCCCCACAGTCTGGAATCTTGACGCCCTTTTTGAGCCGGCGCGCCTGGTCCATTAGGCCCCACTTGTCCTCCCACTTCTGCGAGTCCGTGTTATACACGACTTTCCAGGGTTCGTCGAAGGTCTCGAACCTGTGCGCGGCGGGTATTAGTAGGGTGGGTGGGTAGGTAAGATAGTATGAGTTAGAAAATAGATGGAAAAGGAGGGGAGGGGTGAAAAGGAGAGGGAGAGAAAGAGTGAGGGAGAAAAGGGAAGATACGCACCAGAAATACTCCGTCCCGTTACTCAGCGCCTCGCACACCCAATCCTCCATAAATGTGTTCATCTCCGTAATGCCCGCCACACTGCCCTCACCACTCTTGCACTCGTCAGTATCAGAGCCGGTGCCGCAGTCATTGCCGCCGCCAGACGGCCATCCCGTCTCAGAGATGACGTGGCGCTTGCCCGTCATGCCCTGCGTGACCGGGACATCATTTCCCTGCCAAAATGTCCACGTCCACGACGCGGCCTGCTCGGCGCGCACGCCCGCGAAGAACGGATGGATGTTCGCCATGATGATGTCGACCTCGCGCGCCAGGTCCGCCGTCCAGTTGTCGCCGAGGTCGCTCGTCGCGAGCGGCAGGTCCAGGTTCTTGTCTGTCAGGTTGCTCTTCACGTTGCCCAGGATCTTGGACAGCTCGGCGGCTTTCAGGTCCTTGCGGTACAGCACCTCGTTGCCGACGATGACGCCCGCGAACGGGTCGTCACCGTGCTTGTCCAGTATGTCCCATAGCTGCGAAATCTGCCGCGTGTTCGTCGTGTCGTTGCTGCCGAGCCACACGCCCAGCCATACCTTGACGTCGGTGATCTCCAGCCGGTCGATCGCGTGCAGCACCATTTCCGTCTGGTTGCAGTCCGTGCCGTACAGCCGGACCGCCGGCGTCAGCTGGCTCAGGATCGCGATGTCTTTGGTGATGTTGTTCTGCGAGGGCGGCCACTTGTGGCAGTCAGGGTATTGCGCGCCCCAGGGTGTGTAGTCCATTCCTGGGAAGACGCGGTGCAGGTTCGAGTCGTTCATCAGCGCCTTGATCGAGGCCGAATCCTTGTTAAGGTCATTTGAATCGTCGTCATCGTCCTTTGGCGATGAACTGGACGACGACGAATCCTTGTTTCTGGATCCAAGAATGCCGCCGATGACACCACCGACAATTGCAGCCACGACCAGGACGGCCAGAATCGTACCTACGATCCACTTGAGCTTCTTGTTGCCGCTCTTTTCTTGGGCTAACCATTCGCTCTTCTCGTTCTCGATGCCGTGGTTGTACTCGGTACTGTTACCGCCTGGCACGGGGCCGTAGTTGCCGCTGCCATCACCACTGTTGAAGTTAGAAAAGGCACCAGATGCCGCAGCGGCACCTGCACCTGCACCCACACCCGCACCCGCAGCAGCACCAGCACCTCCAACAGCGAGGGCATCACGACTGGCACTCTTAGAGCTCTTACCGAAACCGCCCAACAGGGTCTTACGCTTCTGGTCCGATTCGGCGGGGAAGCCGTCGTCACCGTCGTCCTCGATTTCGTTGGGATCGATGGCGCCGAAAGCGGTGACGGGCCGCGAGTACTCCCTGTACGGGTCGTCGGAGAGCGGCTCGTACGGGCTGTGCTGCGGGGGGTATTGATCCATCGGGAGGCTTCTGTCCGAGTAGTTGGCGCCGGAGGCGATGGCGGCGCCGCCGGCGAGCGGGGCCTGCGAACCGTACGAGTCGGCAGGGTGCAGGTGGCCTCGGTCGTGGGCCGGGTGGAATGGGTACGGCGACTCGTCCGCCGGATAGGACCCTGGATGACTGTTACTCCCGCCATGGCCCCAATCACTCGTCTCGTGCAACGCGCGCAGCCCGCTCTCGCGAGCGTGGTCGTTCGCAACTCCCAGGGCAATGTCTGTTATGCCGCCTCCCGCCGTGGACTCACCAAAGTTGTCCATGCCCGACGTCGCGAACGACTCCGGGCGGGGATCACGCTGCGGGCTGGGCGAGGAATGGTCCATCATATCATAGTAGGCTTGCGGCGAATGCAGACCAGGCGCGATGCGGTGCACCGGCGGCGGGGGTGGAGGCGTGATTGAGAAATTCCGCGACGTGGCTAGCGGCGGGCTCTCGGGCGGAGGAGAGGGCGTGGTGTCGATGTTTCGAGGAGGCTGGTGGCTGGGAGGTATGTAGGGAGAGACGAGGCTCTGGTCGTCGGCCTCGTCGAAGGAAAAGGCCCTCTGGAAGGGGGGTTGCTGAGGCATGCTGCGCCGTTTTCAGGTGAAGCTGGGGGGTGCCTTGGCGCTGGGCGAAGGAGAGGGTAGGTAGATAGGTTGAGAGTCTAGTGGTTCTGCTTGCAGCCAGCCGAGTTTGTCGCGGCAACGGAGGTGTACGGGAGGCCAGGGTTCAGTGGTTTCAGGCGTCGATTGGAGCATGAAGCGAGCAGCAGGGAAGGCCGACGAACACGACTTCATCCAGTGACGCGATGATGGAAAGCCTGTAGAGATGCGCGCGGCCGCCAATGACGTCGTACAAGGAACGTTTGTCCCACTTGGCTCCTCCACCCCTCCACACGCTCAGGCCTCCCCTTAAAACCATCACCAGTCCCAGAGTCGGAGAGTCCAGACCACGCTTCCACTCCGCCCTCCTCGAATCTCCCCACCCCAATCTATTTGCCGTTCCCAGCGTCCCGCCCACTCGGCCGCGCGTCCGCGTTTCGCTTTTTTATTTTTAGCTTTCTTCACCCACGCCGTTGTGCGAGGCGGCAGCTAGCGGGCCTCGGATCGACAAACGACCGCGGTGATCACGTAGATCTGCTGGTGTGCCTGGCTCATGCTGTGGGTCACAATGGAACCTGTCCAGTCGTGCCAGGCCCGTTGACCGGATTACTTACTGATGCCTGCTATATGGACGTTGTCGCTGCACGTGAGTGGGTGGGTATGCGTCAGGAACAGGTATGGATGGACAGGTACTGGACGGTACCTACATGGCGGGACTGGCAGGTGGATGGTTAAAAGCTTAAGTGCGGGGTTGGTCGTTGTTGGATTGGACGTAGAGGCAAAATAGGCTTCTGAGGCGTGAGGGATATGCCCGCTACGTAGAAGCATCTTTGCTGCACCCTAAACCTAAGCTTGTACATAGCTGGAGAAGCATCAATCCATAGGGACAACCCGATCCCCAGCAAGCCTATCAATCCACAGCCATCCAAACGTCTGCCCACCAAACACAATCAGACACGAAACCCTCAAAAAATCCCCCGCCCACAGGCAATTCAGCACATGTACTGTACAATACGCACCGCAAACCCCACCCTAGGACCAGGGCCGTTGCACCGCAACCAAGCTTCGCCACGGCCACGGCATCTAGGCAGCCCAACCCTGCCCTGCATACAGTACCAGGCCACCGCCACCAGCCCAGCACACCCCATCGCAAACAACAACCAAAACGACACGATAACTAAACACCGTCCGCACGTCCTGTCGAACAGAAGCATATTATATTGCGTATATATAACCCGCTGCACACAACAAAGTCGTGAGAAGAGAGTAGTAATTACGTCGACAAGTAGGTACATACACATTAAGCGCTTACGCACACACGCACACAAGGTACACACACGCACAACCGCACAACCGCACGCCAAAACAAACAATCAACGAGCAACGAACAAACAAACAAACAAACGCCGTCGTGTGCAGCGCGCCTGTCGAGCATATGTATGTACCGCGTCGTCTACAATTATCCGGCACGAGAGGGGGAGAAGAGGAACAAGAAGGAAAAGAATAATAATAATAAGAAAGAAAGGGTAAGCACGAAGAAAAGGAAGAGAGGATAGAGGAAAAGTTAGTAATAAGAAGAGTAGAGAAAAATCATGAAAAAGAAGAGTGAAGAAACAACCTCAACTTTTTTGTTTTCTTTCTTTTCAATCACGAAAACCCCACTTACCTCTCACAAGCCAACAACAACAGCAAACCACAAGAAACGACAGCGACAGAGCGAGCAGTAAAAGCCAAAAAAGCATCCATAGCAGCGTACGTACGTTAGGGAGAATTCACAAGAACGAAAAAAAGTAACTAAACCGCGCGCAGACAGCCACGACGACTGACAGAAAAGCAAACTAGCATGAAAAAAACGCAGCAGAATCAAAAAATCCCATATCATCCATCCATCCACAGCACCCAGACCCGAACCCCACCATCCATCCGACCATTGCGCGCGTCTCGAGATCCGTCAAAACCTCAGATCGCTTCGGCGCGTGCACCCGGCTGCCCATTCGTGTATGTACGTACCCAGTTGTGCGCGATGCGCGCCTCTTTCCCAGCCTAGAAACGAAACAACAACAAGAAGAAAAGGAAAACGGAAAAAATCCACCGACCACGCCCATCATGCACACGCAACGCATCATTCGTGACCGCCCGCCCCCGAGCGGCGTTGAAAACCGACAAGAGTCGAATCAATCTACCAGCAACTAAGGCGCAAGTACGGGATTAAAAGCAAGGACATGAAGAAGCAGCGCGAGAAGAAGAAAAACAGAACAAGGGACATCCACATGGCTAGGCCTGCGCTTGCGTCGCGCAGCCCGGCGTGAAAAAAGAAAACTAGAAGCAAGAAAGCAAGTTTGGACATGGATATCGTGTGGTTCTCTGAGCATTTGCCGCATCGAGAAAGGTGGTTCAGCCGAGGCCTCACGTGCTGCGCCCCCCCACGGCGGCCAAACACTGTGGTGCGAGACAACCTGAAAACTGGTCCTCGCTTCCATATGACCAGGGTAAACCAGCACGAGAGGAATGAGAAGAAATGGCGCCGGAAAGTCTCGACCAGCCAATGAGAGCAAGACGAGATGAAAATTATGCAATGACCCCTCCCTGGAACTAGGGAGAAATCAATGTTTTCCCGGATCGTCCGGATAACAATTGCCAGCGGAAGCATGGCCTGTTTGTGGAAAGTCGTCCGTCCGGAACCGGGTTTCGTGCCGTGCAAGAGTCAATGCGTATGTTCGTGGATCATCGTGAGATTGGGGAAAGAGACGCCAGGTTTGATACTTAAGGCGACGCCTCGCGTTTCGCCCGCTTGCTCCGCTCCAGCCACTGCCGCTTGCCAACGCGCGTCTCGAAGTGAGGTGCAACGTCCTGGCCTGCCGCCATCATGGTGGTGCGCATCTTGGTGCGGTAGGCATCCACTGGTTCCAATGTTAGTGACGACATCCACTGCGACTTATTGGGGAAATTTGACTTACGAGATCGCTGCAGGAAAAGGGTCCGTCCCGCAAACACTCTGCTCTGGCTCCACGTCATGCGGTAACCAAGGTCGTTGAGGGTGACCTCCTTGTTCCTCTTGCTCTTCGTCACGACCGGCCGGGGAACCTTTGCCTCCGAACCATCCATCAACGGCACCGGGACAAGAGTACGGCCGGTGACGGGAGCGCTGGAACCATCATCGCTCTTCTCGTCTTCGGGGTCGTCGAAGAAGCGGCGTCCACGGGGAGACGCCGGGGGAGACTGCATCTGCGTGGGGAAATACGAGCGCGGGTATACGGAGTTGCTCTTACGGTAGGAATCGGGCATCTCCTCCATGTTGACTTGGTCGAGCATGACACGGACGCGGACACGGGTAGATCTTTCCGCGTCTTCGACGAGGATGAACTTGCGGCGCTTGGCTTCCGGCAGATCGCCAAAGAGCTCGAGGTTGCGCTCCTCGTCTTCCTGCGACTTGGTCGAAGCAGAAGTGGCATGGGCCGGCGGCGGCGGCGGAACGTGATGCATGGTCGGCGGCATAGCGGGACCTCCGACAGCGTGAGCAGCGGTCGGATAGGTGGGGTAGAAGTTGTTGGCGGTGCGGACCTCGCCAGAGGGCGGGTTAGTTTGAGCAGTCGGCGCTTGATGATGGTGCGTATGGGTGGTGTCGTTGTATCCATTCGCGGCTATTAAGAATTAGTTTCCGTTTCCGTGACTGATGATCGTGATCTGCGCAGGGGTGTTTGGTGATGCGGTGCATGGTTTGGGGGCGTGATGTGCAAAACAATGGGTATGACCGGGGGGAAAATTACATCCAGAAGGAGTAATGTACATGCAAATACAAAACAAGACAGGATATTATCATTGCAAATCCGTTTCAACGTGCGCGATTCAAACTCGCACTCATCACATCTGTGGAAACATACCGCTAACATCATCAGGCCCTCCCGGTGCTCCTCCAGGATGCTCATGGTGGTGGTGCAACTGCGGGCCGCCCATGCCCATGCTCGTGGGCCGGGGCCCCGGCGCACCCGGAAGACCAGCCGAATTCGGGACCCCTGCAGCGCCCGGGGCACCGGGGCCCGCCATGTGGCCACCATGCTGCGATGCCTGGATCGCCTTCCTTGAAGTGATCTTGGCCATGCGCCTCACCCGCCTGCTCCTCAGGCGCGGGTCTTGGTTGCTGTTTCTCCAACTGTCGACCGCGCGCTGAATCAGGCCGCGCTTGCCGCGCAAGCACGGGTTGAGCTGGGCGAGCGCCCAGCCGACCGTGTTGCACTCGGTCTCGTAGTGAAGGCGGTTGCCCTTGTACTGGTCCTTGGAGCAGCATGCGCGGGGGTAGACGCAGTTCTCCGTCTTGAATTCTTGCGGGAGCTCGTCGACGTTTACCGACTCGACGTCGCAGCGAATCGTGTACTCCATCTTCACCCGATCTCTCGAGTATTCAAACGCAATCCACTGCACGCCGTTCTGGTCTTGCCGCACGACCAGCGGGGTCGTGGCGGGAATGGGGCCGGGGGCGGCGTTCGGGTTGACGCTCGAGTTTGGCGGCGCGGCCGAGTGCATGCTGCCGGCGCTGCCTGGAGGGCCCGTCGGCGTGCCCTGGGGCGGGCCGAGGCCGGACGGTGGCCTCTGAAGCGGCGTCTGGTTCAGCTTCGCGCGTGGGCTGCCCGGCAGACCTGGGGTGTGAGGGTGCTGGGGGTGTTGCAGGGGCTGCGGTTGGTGAGACATGAGGAGCGAATTGGCCGCGAGCGGCGCGGGATGTTGTTGCGCGTAAGGCGACTGCTGGGGCGGCATCTGGTATTGCGGCGAATAGTACATCTGCTGCGGGACCTGGGGCGCGCTCTGGCCGTAGATGGGACGGCCATGCTGATCGTGCTGCGGCGACTGGATCGAGGCGGGCGAATTTGATTGCGGGGTGTGGTAGATGGGGGGGAATTGCCGGTTCATCGTTGCGGTGGCCATGGAGATGTCTGGCGTTTCGGCTGCGACGGCGGTGAGTGAGTGGTGGTGTTTGTCGAGGTTGTCGCGCGCCAAGGCGGCCGTGACGCGACGCGACTTACCTGACGAGGTGTAGCTTCCAGAGGCGCTGTTGGTGCTGTAAGGGCTGGGATGGGCGGTGGCGGCGTAGTAGGGCACTTCCTGCGGGTTCTGGGCGTGTGGGACTTGGATTGTGCTGACGTAAGGCGAGTGGTGCTGGTTGGGCACTTGGTGGGTCGAGGGATGCGGCGAGGCGTAGGGCCCTTGGGAAGAAGGATGCGACGGCTGCTGGGGCGAATTGGGGTGGTGCTGGTGGTGCTGGATGACTTGGGGCCTCGGGTGCTGGATGTGTTGCGGCGGTGGCAGGCCCTGCTGAGCGGGGTGGGGATGATGCTGGTCGAGTGGTTAACCACCGGGGCTTTGCACGACGTGTGTCGAAAGGGAAGGCAAGAACCCTGAAGAAAAGAGTCGTGTTGGATGGATTATGAGGGGCGGATCTGCTGAGCTGGGCGGATGCGACGACAGGGTCCGCGGATCACGGCGTGGTGTCGGACAGGCAGAGGGTTGATGAAACGCACACGCCTGGACATGGATGGGGCTGGTCGGATGGGGGAGCGAGGGGAGGGTCGGGGAGGGGGGGAGGGGGGAGGCCTACCATGTAGGCGATGACTCGCTCGCTAGTGGTGGGAGTGCAGCGCGGGCGCAGGAGAGGGCGGATGCATGCAAGCGACAAGCAAAAAGGCTGAGCAGCAATGGAGTCGGGCTAGGGAAGCAGGGAGGCACTCACCAGATCGTCCGCCACCGGCGCCGGCGCTTCCTTATACCCCGGAGCGCTATCTCGCTGCGACAGCGTTATGTTGGAGTCAGTGACTGCCTGCGTTGGGCCATGGGCAGGCTAGCAACGGCCGTCCGTGCAGCCTGCAGTGCAAGCGTAATTTGCTGCAGCTCCACCGGCACTGAAATAAACTCCAAACACCCTAACGCCCAAGCCTCAGCCACGCCGCCGTCTGAGTGGCCGGGGGAGCTGCGCGCCCGGGCGAGCTGCCCCATCCAGGCTCCGTGTGCAACGGCGTGGGCGTCGCGTGCGCCGGGTCACTTGCCGGTTACTAATGATGGCAGTCCTGTCGACGAGCTGCCATCCATCATCTCCCCTCCCCAGACCAGAATTGATGGAGATCACCCATCATTGCTTGCCCAGCCACAGCGAGATCAGGCCTGTGACCTCCCCTGCGCCCGGCGTCGTCGCGCGCCCGCAGCAACGATCGGCGCCGCGAGTACGTAAGCCTTGCCAACTCACCCTCCCAGTCAGGCCGCCGCGACAGCACACTTGAATCATGAGCGTCAAGCGCCCAAAGCATAGCTGAGTCGCCCAGGTTTATGCCTGCGCGCCATCTTTTCAATCTTTCATGCATTCCCGAAAAGCCCTTTTGGGCGGCGTCCTGGACGAAATTGTTCGACTTTATCTCCAGCCCGCCCGCCGCCCGACGGTCCGCCCGCCTTAGTCCACCGTCTCATGCAAAAGCCGATTAACACAAGCCCGCTATACATACTCTAATCCGTATCCCTCTATCCCGCCCACCGCGAAGCCGTAGCGGGCGTCACGTCCGATCTGCTGCTCGGCAATCAGGCCATGATAGGCGCTGCATTGCTGAATGAAGGATCCAACCCTCTGCATTGCTTTTTTGCCAATCCACAAAAAATGTTGGCTGGTGCCGGCCCTGCCCGGATTTCCTCATCTTGCTTCGGCCACAAGTCCGAGCGCTGCGCTTCTGGACCTTTGACAACCGGTCAGAGCCTCGACTTGTCGAGATACGAAGTGCGCCGTCGGCAAAGTGGAGCGCGCGCGCGCGGATGGCAGCATTCGTCACGCTGCGAGAGGCACATGCATTGGCTGTGGCCGTCGCGTGCCGTCTGATGGAGCGCACATCGCGTTTGTGTCGACGTTCGATCGTTCGTCGGCGGTCATCGTCGTCGTAGTCGTCGTCGTCTTCGAGTCGAGGGCCCGGCGTTTGACGTGACTCAGGTCTGGCTTGCGCGGATCGTATCGAGTCAGGGTCGTACTCCGGGTCTGCATTGGTGAAGGCGGCGAGGTGCAGCACCATTTGGGGCTTAGGCGGCAATTCCGTGCTGGCATGTGACGGCGTCACTCAGCGCTAAGGTAGAGCGGTGGGGGCGCGTTGGGCCTCAGAGGACACGAGAGAAAAAAATAATAATAATCGCAGCGGCAGTCACCGCTCGAGTGTTTCTCATCGTACATAGTCGTTGCGCGTGGAGAGCAGACGCGAGTAGTGTGTCTGGGACGGCATATGGAACCCCGGACGGAGACCACGAGGGCCAGTGAGGACCCCCCATGTCTTCCCGCGCAACCCTCGTCCAACGGCCTCGCTAGTGCTCTGCGAATTAAGGTTGCTGTCAACGAGGGCACCGGCCAGGCCTCCAGGTGATTTTCTCAGGCCCTCACCTGGCTTCCCGAGATTCCTGGAAGGGGCCCCCCCTTGAAGATTGTGCCGCCGATCCGGCCGGCCAGGCGCGGGAGGCCTTTCTTCAACGCTGGTGCATAAGTGCGGCGCGCCCGGTCCCGCGCCAGGGGGGAGGCAGGCAGGCAGGCAGGGACCCCCCCTGACGGCCATGGGCTGATGAGTGCATACGGCTTCGCGATTCCGTCATTGCTGGAGGAGGCTCCTCGATGAGCGGCGGATGCGACGCGGTAGTGCGACGTCGCGTGCACCTCAGCTCGCCCCCAAGAAACGGCAAGCTCCCGATCCTCGTCCTCGCAAGCGACGGCCTGAGCGCGGTCTGGACAAACCCGCGCGGGCACATCTTCATACCAAACGCGCAGCGCTGACGTGGCTCACATCTCCGCGAGATTTCTGACACGGCACGCCTGATCGGCGCCTTACCGTCTTGCGCACGTGACACTTGCGACACTTGCGACACTTGCGACACTTGCGACGCTCTCCCGCCTTGCACCTCCACGCGCGCATCCCGCGCCCACGGCTCAAGCCCTTTTTTTCCCAATTCCCGCCTTTCGTTGGCGGCATGCAGCTGCCTTTTTGTCCAATATTGTCCCTACAACCCCTGTCACCCATGCTCTTTTCGGCCAAGGCGACCGTTTGCCTCGTCTCGCGAGCTGTTTCGCCAGGTCTCAGGGTCCACTCGCCTCCCTCAGTTTATTGAAGAGAAGATGGTCACTGGTCAGCAAACATCGGAAATACCGCCATGCAGGGCTTCTCCGGCTTTTGCCCTCTCTCCTCCAGTCACAGTCACGCGCAACTCGACTTTCGCTGAGGTGCTCTCATCATCAGAAAAAAATCTCGGATCGTACCACCACTCCAGTCACCCTCGCACAGCATCGCCCTAGCGCATCGCGTTCCCACTTCCCGCAGCCGCCGCCGCCTACCGCCTTCCTGCGCCTGTCCCCGTGGCCTCGCCTCCCTCCTCATCCCCGCTCTGTCCCCCCCAGCCTCCCCTTCCTCTGGACCCCCATTCTCGCTCGCCAAGAACCGGGCTCGCGTCTCCCACGCCCAGCATCGGCACCGGGACCAGCAGGAAGAGCATCCATCATCATCATCATCAGCAGGAGCAGCAGCAGCAGCAGCAGCAGCAAAACAGAAGCAGCACCAGCAGCTACTGCGGCAGCATCCACGCACGCCCGCAAACGCTGTGCGCCCCCCTCACGCGGCCACTGTCGTGCCGCCCGCTCCAGCTGCTACGGATCCGTACGCCGTGCCCCCAACCCCGTCCCCAACTCTCAACCTCTCGCACACGCAATCCCTCGCTCCTCTCCCCCGCGCGCCGCTTCCAACAGCCTTCTAGAACCGCGCTTGCGCCCCCTGCACCCAAAGCCCGCACCCATGCACGCCCGACACCCATGCTCAGCCAGGCTTTCACTGCGGTTACTGCTGCTTGCTGCTGCCGCTAACTGACTACTGCTGCTGTTGCCGCAGCCGCCGCTAAAACCCGCTAGCCCGCCCGGCCCTGCGCATCCGCGGTTGCGCGTCGCTGACTAGCGCGCCGCAGAGCCCGCAGAGCCCGCCTCCCCCCGTCGATGATCGCCGCCGCCAGCCGGGGTTTGTCGCGCTGCCTGCTCTGTGCTGGTTGGCCTGTCGCGCATCGCTGCTCATCGTTCATCGCGCATCGCTCGTCGGCTCTGCGCAGCCAGCACCAGCGACGATGACGAATGACGGGCAAGGCCAGGGCGTGGGGGTCGTCGCGCCTGCAGCCTGCCCGCCTGCCCGCCTGCCCGCCTGCCAATGCCAATGCCACTGCCAGTGTGCCAGCCTGCCATGCTGATCCCTCCATCCATCCATCCATTCGTTCATTTATCCATCCCCGGCGCTTGCATGCATGCCTGCATGCCTGCATGAATGCCTGCACTCACGCGTGCACGTATGAACGGTACGCAGGCTGTGTTTGCCTGTCCGGTATCCAGTGTCGACGCATCATCCCTCCATCCCTCCAACCGTCAGCCATCCATCCATCCACCATCCTTCCCTCCCTCCAGCCATCAGCCAGCCAGCCAGCCCCCCTTGTCCGCGCCAACTGCCAACGACAGCCCCGCAATCCGCAACCCGCCTCACCAACGCGCTCCCCCGCCCGCGCCCGTTGGCTACAGTATCCTACGGGTTGCAATGCCTTGCGTGCCCTACCTACCTACCTGTCCGGCCGCGATCTGCCGCCAAGCGGAGGGCGCGACAAGATCGCCTGGCCTGCTTGCTGCCTCTACATGCGTACGTGGTAGGCGTTTGCGTGTCTCGTTCCTACATGCGGACGCACTAGGGCTGGACGGGACAGGACAGGACAGGCTGGGCAGGCGGGCAATACTGCTGGTCGCTAGGTGCGCTGCTTTGGTCGTCTTTGCGCATCGTCGCTGCTGCGCTCTGTCTGCTTTGCTTACGTAGGCCGCGAGCTCGTCTAGCTAAGGTAGCTACCTACTTGCGGATGCGTACGGTGCGGTGCGGTGGGCCGCGCTGCCTGTTCGGGTGCTGAGTGATGGGTGATGGGTGCTGAGTTGAGTGCTGCTGGCTAGGTACCTAGGTAAGAGGCGGGCTTGTGGACGGTGCTGGTGCTGGTGGAGGTGGTGGTGATGGCTTGAGCTACGAGCACTAAACTAGGTCCCGCGTACAAGCTACCTACCTTGCTACAAGCTACAAGCTACAAGCTCCCACTGCTGGCTTGCTGCCTACATAGGTGGGTAGGTAAGCACACCAAGCACTGCGCGCGCGGCCACCGGCTCAAGCTGTAGCTAGGAGCTGGAATCTGGATGGATGGATGGGCGTAGGCGCGCCGTACACGTACACGTCCTGTACTGACGTCCCGAGGTCTACCGTCTATCGTCTATCGTCTACCGTCTCGCCCACCCACCGAGGAACCGACCCGCTCGTCCGCCGCTTATCAAGCACCTGCGCACACGCATCTCACACTTACAAACCACGCAAGCAAAGCAAGCAAGGCAAGCAGTCGCGAGTGCCGTCCTCGGCTGCCGTGCCGCGCCAAGCTCGCCCTGTCTTGGCGCCTCTGCTGCTGCTCCTGCAACTAAGGTCGTTACTGCGCCTCCTGCTCCTGCTGTTGGCTGTTAATTGCTGATTGTTAGTTGGTTTTCTCCCGCAGCAGCAGCAGCAGCAAAACGGCGCTCTCCGCGCCAGCCCCCCGGGCTTACCTAGGCTCTTAGGACCGCGGGGACGGGGCGATCGCGATCGTCGCCTGTCTGTTTATAGCATCTGCATCAGCCTGCCTGCCTGCCTACCTGCGTGCGTGCTCTCCAAACGGCGGTGCTCAGACGCAGTACCTAGTTAGATGCAGGAGATGCAGGCGCGACGTCGGCGCGCTGCCCGTTTGTTTTGTTGCGTATGTGTGTATGTGGGGTGGGGTTGGGTGTGCGCCTGTATGTGCGCCCCCACGCTGATAACTACCTAGGTATGGCTGCGTGCGTGCGTGCGTGCGTATGTATGCATGTCAGCGCGGGACGTTGGCTAGCTGCTTACCTAGCTCGCTCGCTGGCGCGCGCGGGGCGGGAGCGCTGCCGTCTGGCTCTTGCTCCCGCATTGCTAGATGCCTGTTTGGCTGCTTGCTTGCCGGGCGGGCTGCCGCTCTGCTGCTTACTGCCTACTGCCTAGGTACAGCCTACTGGCTGCCTCCTGCTGGCCGAATGGACGAATAGACGAGTTGAGTGAGTGAGTGCGTGGGTGGCTGGGCTGTCGTTGGTAGGTAAGTACGGCGTACCTAGGTAAGCAAGCAGCAAGCAAGCATGGCGGCAACGGCGCGCGCGCGCGTGCGTGCGCGTGTGCGTACGTGGGTTTCCCTCTTTCCCTTATCTTTCTCTCCCGTTTCTTTTCTTTCTTTTCCATTCACCATTCCTTTTCTGTTCCGTTCATTTCTTTCGGATAGGCAGGCCATGGCTGCAGCAAAGCACAGGAAGCTCCGCTCACGGTAAGTCGTAAGCCGTAAGTCGTAAAGGAAATGAACGGATGTAAGTACGTATAGTATCTATGGGCACGATATGATACGAGACGAGACGGAATGTTGATGTTGGCTTGGTACGGATTACGATTTTGTGCAATAGGTTGGCGGGACGTACGTACGGGGTGCGAGGTACGAGGTAGGTAGGTAGGCACTGCTGCTGCTGCTGTTGGTGCTGGTGCTGGCGCCGATGTCTACGGTACGGAATAGAGAGTAGAGAGGTCCCGCCCGCGTCTCACGCCAACCTACCTACCTACGCGTCTGCGCCGCGCCCTGGGTACGAGGTGCGTCGGTGCGTGGCTATGTAGCAGCACCACCACCACCACCAGCAGCGACGACGACGACGACGACGACAATGACGGCTAGGCACGGCTAATCCGTACAGCATAACTGCAGCAGCGGCGACGGGGCGGGGCGCACAAGCCCCTGAAGCCGACGCGGCTTTCCTGTTGCTTTTTCTTTGCGGTAGACCTTTATTATTCCCTCCCCTCTTATTTCTTTTCGTTTCTTTTTCTTTTTTGTTTCTTGTCGGTTGTGCTCGCTTTTTTTTTTTGCTTTTTCGTTGCGCCGCCAGGCCGCTTGCTGTCGCGCGTCGCTGCTGTCGCGCAACCGCCGCGCACGTGGCGCATACATACTTAGGCCGCGCTGCTGTGCGGGCTGCGTCTTGCGGGCTGCGTCTTGCGTCTTGCGTCTTGCGGGCTGCGTACGGATGTACTGCGTCCTAGGCGCGTCTGGCTCTGGACGTCGAGGGTCGACTTGCGGACCCCGCGAGCGCCGCCTGCACGCACGCGCGCACGGATGGTTGGAGATGGTCTGACGGACTGACGACGACGACGTCTCTCGGCGTTCCGGTCGCGCCTTTACCTACGCTCTGCCTGGGTAAGGTTCCCCTTCCTTTCGATTCCATCGCGCCGTGGCGTGCGTGCGTTGCATGTCGTGCGCGCGAATGTACTGTACATTGGACGGGCGTGTATACGGGCATTCATCCATCTATCCATCCTGCCTGCGCATCCGATCCTCTTCTGTCTGTCAGTCGGCTACGCCTACCTACCTGCCTGCGTACCTACCTACGGATTCCCTAGGTCCCTGGGTCCCTACTCGCTTGCTAGGTAGCTAGCTGGCTAGCTTGCGCCGCCCTAGTACATACATGCCTACCCACCTCCCCGCCGCCCGCGGACGCCCGCATGCACAGACGTTGGCCGGTACGCTTCTGCGCCTGCGGTAATTGCCTGGCGACGCAGGCACGCGGCGTGGGAGGACAAGGCGCACTGGCACTGCTGCCGCCGCCGCTGCTGCTGCGAACGCCACTGCATTTTTATTTTTGTGTTTTCTTGGTTTCTTTTGCTGGGTTTGCGCGCTTTTTCTGCTCGTCTTTGACGTATTCGTTTGTTCGTTTAATTGTTTGTTCGTTCGTTTGGTTGTCGGTACGTTTGTCTGTCTGCGTCTGATCGACAGACAGGCAGACAGGCAGACAGGCAGGCGAATGCGGGCGCAGAAGCGCGGGAGCTGCTGCTGCTGCACCCAGGTAGGTAGGTACGCGGTAAGTACAGTACCTGGGCGGTGCCTAATACATAGTAGCAAGGCAAACGCGCCCGCGCGGTGCGTACAATTCGCCCACGCCTACGCCTATACGAGCGTCCCCCCCGCTGCTGCTGCTGCTGTTGCGCCGCGGGAGCGTGCCTACGGGTTACAGCCTAGGTACCTACTTACGCAGGTGGCGGGCGTGCGGGCGGGCGGACGGGCAGGCGCAGCACCGTCCCCCTCCACGTCCACGTCCACGTCCATGTCCATGTCCTTGCCCGCGCGGTACCGTGCCGTACCCAGGCGGCCGTGGGCTTCGAATCGGATCGCGGCGGGTGTAGCCCGTAGGTAGGTTTGTAACAGACCTAGGGACAGAGGGACAGTCGGGCGGGTCGGGAAGCTGCTGCTGCGGCGGCGGCGGCGGCCATAGGAACGAAGCGCTGCCGCTGTTTGCGCGTGGATTGTTGCTTGTTGCTGCCGCTGCCGCTGCTCGTGCTGCCTGCTGCTGCCTGCGCACTGCGTGCTTCCAAGGGCCTCGGAGACACGGCGTGCGAGACGCGTGCGAGGTTGCTGGGTGCTGGCTGCTGGCTGCTCGCTGCTCGCTGCTCGCGCCGTACCGTGCCGTGCCGTACTGTGCCGTCCTTGCTGCCAGGGCCCGGACGAGACGAGCGCGGAGGCGGTCCTGGGTCCTACCTTACTACCTACCTAGGCGCCCTGGCTAGTTAGCGGGGAAAACGACGTCGTCGTTCGTCCTCTTTCTCTCGTTTTCCTCTTTTCTTGTTCTTGTTCGCTTTGGTCTTTGTGTCTTAGTTAGCAAGAAAGCAAGCAAGCGTTCTTTCGTCTCTTTTTGCCTACCTACCATTTCCTACCTACATACACACTACACGCACTATATTCACTTACTTATCGCACCACGCTCGCGCTGTGTCGTGCGCTTTGCTTTGCTTTGCTTTCTCTTGCGCCCATCACACACACACACACACACACACACACACATTGCTCCCGACACTCCCCCATCCCATCTACCGTACAACATCCATTCTCGCCCCGAACGGCGCAGCACCCCCATCCATCCATCCATCCATCCATCCACCCACGCACGCACCGCACAAAACACGGCCCAGCTCCGCTCTGCACCGCTCCGCACAGAGCAGAGCAGAGCACAGAGCATAATCTTCACGCACGCCCCGCAGCTGTCTCAGCCGTCCCAAAACAGCACCTACTCCGACACCGCGACGGCGCTCCCCACGCCCGCTCCGAACGCGGAAGTTTGCTCCGCTTCCTCTCCTTCAAACGGGCGCAGGGTGGCAGGTTGGCTCGCCCGCCGTCGGCTGTGCCCGTCAACACGGGCGTGCGGGTTTGCGAGCGAGCGCTCACGCTCGGCCGCTTGCCCGCTTCCGGCGCGGCCATGTGCGCCTGGCGTACGCGTACACGCACACGGTATTGTAGGAGGTAGGAGCGCGCGTCCGTTTCGTGTGAACCGTCACGCGCACGGGTAGCGGCTTTGCCCGCTGCGCTATCGCCGCTCCGTCCCGCGCGCTCGCTCTCTTTCTGCACTGCGCGGATGGTGTCGTCGTCGTGCTAGGGCGGCTTTGAGCGGAGCACGGGAGCGCGGGAGGCCGGGAGGGCGGGCCGGAGATTAGGTGTGCCTGCTGTGTGGGAAGGGGAGGGTGTTGGGGTTGGGGTGATGGGTTTGTATTGGACAGTTTTTCCTTGGTTCTTGTTCTTGCTTCTCTTGTTGGTGGGATTGGAGGTAATCCGTATGTTTGGGGTTGGTGCTGACTTGGGGTAGGGTTCCTGGTCTTGTGAATTCGGATTTTATTATCTTTGGTTCGGTTTCTGGTTTTTTGTTATTATTCTACGTCCCTCCCTACGAACCTAACCCCTTTGGAGACTCGTAAGTCGACTTTACAATTTTTTTGATTGAGTCTTTCCAATTTCTCTGTTCAATCTTTTTGCTCATCCCGTACTCTATCGCACCATCGTGTTCCTCGATGGTGAGCAATATCGTAATCCTCCGCTAAGTCGCAAATTGACAACACAGTTCAGTGACCCAGCCTTCTCAAACTCCGTGGGTATACAGTTCCCTTGCGCACGTGACTACTCCGTCACCACATCATATTTCTCGATGACCTGCAAACCCTTCAGATCCTCAAGCGCGAGCTCTCCACAGCAAAAAGTGCAAAAGACACGACTCTCGCCATCCCAACCTTTATAGTTCTTGCGGACAAGCTCCGGGTTGGCGTAGAAGACGTTGTCGCAACGCTTCGCAGGACATCTGTACGCCTCTACATCCAGCGGGAACCTCGAACCGGCGCGCGCGACGGCGGCATCGAGCTCCTTAGCAAAGGACTCCGCTAGACGCGTCTTCATGGCTGCGAAATCCGGGTCCGCCATCAGCGCCCTGTAGTTCCTACGGCACACATAGACGACCATGTCGCGCAGACCGCGGTTCCGCGCCGGCGTCGTCGCGTACACGAGCTCGACGACGCGGGCGAAGCGCGCCTCCTTCCAGCCCGCGCGCTCATCCACGCACGCTTCGAAGCGCTGCTTCGCGTAGGGTGCTAGCGCATCGATGCCGTAGAAGCCGCTCAGGCCGTACATCTGCGCGTGGAACAGCATCTCGGTCAGCGAGGGCGACGTTGTCGCCGGCGCCCGCTTCCGCTTGCGCCAGTTGGTGTAGAATTCGAAGTCGTTGGCCCTATTTATTTTGCTGCTGCTGCTGCTGCTGGGCGCGCTGGAGCGATCGCCTGGGTTGCCGGTTTCGCTGGGCGTCTCGTAGCCGCAGTAGTACATGAACTGGAGCAAAGCGCGGACGGCGTCGGCGTCCTCGTTTTTTAGTTCGATGACGCCGGTGGCGTTCTCCTGTGCGAAAGAGCGTGAGCGGTATTATTAGGAATGCAGAGTGCCGTTTGTTCGTACCTTGAACGTGTGCGCCGGGTTGCAGGCTTGCTCGAAGAAACGACTCTGACTGCAGACGATGGCTTTATGCACATCGTACATGATGTCGTCGCTGCAGCGGACCTTGAGGTCGGAGAACTTGCCAGGCTGAAGGTACCTTGCGGAGTTGGTCAGTGTCTTTCGTGTTTTCTTGGTCGGCGATGGCTTACTTGGTCAAGCTGGTCGTGAGACCTTTCGTTGAGGGCGAGTCATTTACGGCCATTTTGGCTTCAGGGTGAGGTTGAACGAGGGAGAAAGGAAGGGTTGGGTGACGAAGGTTGGTGGGTATTTGTATTGTGGCTCGTGGAAGAACGAGAGGTACCTTGGATTTCACCTTTCGCTACCACTCTGCTAACATTTTGTTAACACTGCACTCTTGCAGTGTTATATTTACGCTCGGCGCAAGCCTACAGACTGATTATTCGTCTCTACGTTTAAATATTTCTAACTGGACAGGACCTGTATGCGCCGGACTAGTGCCCAACTAAGTAATATCCGTCACCGTCTAGCGAAATAGGGAACGACACAAGCAGTCCCTACCAACTACTCTATGTCTAGCTGTATGAATAGGTCCTAGATTAATGCTAGAAGATCCTAGATTATATGCGCTCATAACCGAACATGTCTCACCGTCCACCGTTTAGCGAGATGGGGAAGAATGCAAGCAATCTCTATAGAATGCTCCTTGTCTAGCTACATGACCGAGTCATGAATGAGGGTCTTAGAACGTACACGTACTATGAATATCTTAAATGGCTTTCTTCCGCTCTGTATAATATTCATCATCTCGTCAAGTGGTAAATATCACTTTTAGGTGACAAATGGTAGATGCTATAACCCCAAGTAAACAAGTAACGCCTGTTCCATGTCTTTATTCCCCTCACCGATCCACAAGCCGCCACATTCAAAATAGTGCTTGTTGTTTTCACACAAGATCCAAAATCAGCACGCTGCCACCGCACCGGCCACACCAACAGCAGCATCTCCGCCTGCACTCATCTCATACAAAGTAGTCGCCAAAACAACCACGATCGCAGACACCTAAGCAAAACATTAGCATTCTCCCAGCACAAGGCAAAAAACTACACGCAACTCACCAACGACATATCCATCCCCGCGGCCACATCCACCACCCACTCCAGCTTCTTGCCCGGCATATACACAGCCATCTTGTCCGTCCGCTTCGCCGACGCAACAACCACATCCCCCAAATACACATTCGTGCGCAGCTTCCAGATGTCCTGGCCATGGATACCCAGCACGACCTCATTCGTCCCGCCCATTCCAGCGGGATCCACGCTCTGCACAAACGCGTCTAAATGGTCTTTGAAGAGGCTGGTTTTGCGCTCGAGCGTGACGGAAGGAATACCGCCTTTCCTGCCTGGCAGCTCGATGACCCAGGGCGTGGACGCCGACATCTTGCGCGTCAGCTCGAAGAGCGGGAGCCCCGTCGCCGTGGAGCGGAAGGTGCGGTGCTGTGACCTGGACAGCGCTTTGCCGTCGACGGAGAAGAGCTCGACTGCACTGCCGGCGTCGAAAACGCCGTTTTCTGGCTCTTGAGATATCGTGAACTTGCTCCCGCTGCCGTTGGCATATTTGATGCGGAGGCGTGTCGGTGCCGGCGCTATGTGCTCCGGGCAGATGGCGATGGGTTGGCTGAGGAAGGCGAGGGGCGGTGTCGGCATGATTGCTGGATACTTTAAATTTGGGTTCTCAGGGTGTTTGTTGTCGAAGGCTTTGGTTAATCGTTCACTGCTTTATGGCTGGTGCTGGTGCTGTATATAAGTTGTACGCGTGTTGATCTAAGACCCACGTAAGCTTACGCACGGGTTTCTAGTGACTACGCAAATTAGTTGTAGGGTCTTCAAGCCCTCTAGCAGCTTTTTACCGCTTTCCTAGTCGTGCGTGGCCCGGGTTTGACTCACATGGATCCGGTGGTTGTGAGTGCGACCGTCACGTGACGGGTTTGTAGGTGTACTCGAGTGTTTGCGACCCACGCGAGCTACTTATAGCTACTAAACCTTAGCCGGAAGGTTTAATATATCCCCTAAAACTTTTCACCGCTTTAGGTGCCGTGCGTAGCCGGGGTACGGCTTGCGTAGCCTAGACTATAGAGTTAATATTTAATATAAGCGTATTAATTTAACACGCAAGGCCACGCGAGTCTTTCTATAACTATAAAACTTGAATATAGTATTTTTATAGGCCCCTTGAAACTTTTTCCGGCTTTATACATCTCGCGTAGCTAGGTTACCACGTGCGTAGTCGTGGTAGTAATAAAAACAATATTAGTACGAAAGCAAATTAATTTTAGGATCTGTGAAATGTCTCGTAGTTACAAGAACTTATAAGTAGTATCTCCAAGGTCTATTCCAGATTTATGCGGCTTTTGGCGCTTATCGTAAGTATGTTGTGCGTAGGGGTGAACAGTGTTGATAAACGTTTTGTTTTAGGCCCCGGATAATTTGCCCACCCCTCTTTGGATATTTTGCCCACCCCCTACTAAGAAAGGCAACCGCTAAGCTTTTTCGGGTAATCGTAAACGATAATTCTATTTATTATTCTTTAT